ATGGCTTGTGTATATCGTATATATACATATATATTATTCATACCTTTGGTGTATAGAACGCAAGCAGATTTTGACATCAAATTTTGGGGTAAAAAAGTGCGTCTTATACACCAAAAAATACTGTAATCAAAATTATTATTAATATCATGAAAACAATCAACTAATACAAATTAGTATTTACAATCATTCAAATATCCATTAATTGAAATACTACCATTATGATTTTTCATTCTTATTTTTTGTTCAGCTTAAAGATAATTAACTAATTGAAAGGGTTTCCAATTATTGCTGTTTTTGATTTTTCCAAGTATCCAAATAACTGAAATATTGCCATTATATTTGGTTGTTGTTAAGCTATATGTATTCTGACCATCACGGTATTGAAACCAGATTTTTAGCATTTATTTTTAAACCATGTCATTAGAGTAACTGATTAATAAGCCCAATGATTAATCAATTGACAAATTCCAGTAATTGCCCAGCGCTAAATTTGCATTGGGTTCTACTCCACGATGTGTATCAAAAAATGCACTCGTATTTAAATAACTATTTTTCTGAATGATAAATGTTTAATTCAAACTATTAAGATCATTTGTTCAAATGCAATTGTTTGTTGTAACACCTTTGATTTTAAATATCAAAGTACATATTGTTTACCTGCATCATTTACAAAGTGCTGCTTGTAAAAAACTATTGTATTGGCAGAACACTACCTCGTTTTCTGTTAGTTAAATTTTAAAACATGACTTTCTTCATTTTGTCATTTATATTACTTTGGTTTGAATAAAGCAGCAGTTTGATATTTCACATTAATAAGGGATTCCCTGTAGAATAGCGAGATATCTAAACAAACACGAAATTGTGACATTAGAAGAATCAAGTAATACAATATACCCTTTTCACTGGTGTCATGTAAATTTTGTTGTATGTAAAGTTGTTTCAACTTATTGGTTTTGATGCTTTCCAGTTGTGAACTTGGGAATAATGTTAACTTGCAAGTATTGTCCATGTTCAGTATTTAATTAGGGTTGGTGAATATTATGAAAAACAAACAAACATTTGTTGTATTAATTAGGCTAAACCTTGGGTTTGTTCATAAAATGTATAGAATTCCATCTTCATTTACTACAGTGTGTAAAAGCACCCTTTGATGAAATACTTACTGTCATTAGATTTTAACATTGTAAGAATTTTCTTAGTTTGAGGATGCATGTAAAAAATTAAAGATATTCACTACCCACTTCACAGCCAAGTCCTATATGGTATGGCTATACATAATTTCTTACCGTATAATTCATGTTGATAAATGAATTTCGCAGATAGTTCCTCATATGAAGATTGATGTTGAAACATTACAACTTTCTGTTAATACCTTTTCTGAAAAGAACTTAACATATTCTGTGATGTCACGGCAAATATGAGATGTCATTACATGGAAATTAGACACTCAGATAAATTAATAAACATCTGTCTTTAATAAGAAAAGGTTAATGAATTATTTTCAGCCAAAAAAAGTGTAAAATATTTATTACCAGTACTTAATATATAGACAAACATAATACGTATGAAATCAGTAGTTTGTCCATAAATACATAAAGTTCAGTTGTGAATCTATAATAGTTATTGAGAAATTTTTTAATGCATGTACATGACTGTTAGTTAGACAAAAACTAGAGTCAGAAAAAGTTTGGCATTAAAGGTCTAACTATTATTAAGCACTAAAATGCTTGTATATTATATTTTGAAAAGCCAATAATAAAAACAACTTTATAATCATTTTTTGGTAAGTCTGTAATTTGGATCAGAGAAGAACAGGTTTCATCATATACTAATCTTTGTTTTCTTTTTAAATTAAATTTAAAATCTGTTTTTTGTTTTTGTTTTTTTGCATTAAGAAACTCAAATAGAAAAAGTTCCAATTATGTGGAAGAAAAATGTATACATTTTCAATATTAAATTGATGGTTAGGAAGTTTGACTCGCAATCTTCAGGCTATGGAATTGAAACCTAGTGTGGAATAAGCTCGCCCTTTCAACTGTGGGACTTTATACTGTAATGGTCAATCCATCTACTTGTTGGTAAAGAGTAGCCCAAGAATTGGCTGTGGATGCTGCCACGAGTTGTCTTACCCCTGGTCGGCAATTCAAAATTAATGACTGAGGCAGATAGCCTTAGTAGCTTTGCAATAAACAAACAACATTAAATTAATTTTTTCATACTTTAAACTTTGTGTAGCCTTGCTCTCTGAAAAAAAAAGCAGGGTTGACTTTACTGAGAGGTTTAAGTAATAGTGTTCTAATGTACACTCATAGTTATGTAAATTTACTATAACCAAATATTTGGTCAAACATAAGCATATAACTTTATAGAAATTAATATATTAAGATATTTGTTTAGGCTTTGTTACTTAAATACAAAGAGCAAGAATGTGTTTTTTTTATATTTATAAATATGAATATTTTGCAGTTACTTCTGTCATTTGGTTAGTTAATTTCTGTGTTGAATATAAATACTTTTTGTTAAGGTTTGAATTTATTCATTCACATTGCTCAATGAGGAAGAGAAAAACATATCTGAAATAAATGTGCTTTTCTAAGAAATGTGCTCTATGTTTTTACTTAATTCTTTTTTCCTTTTTATAGTATGTGTTCTGATTAAGCTTGTGCACTTAACTTTTATGCAACACTGATAAGGTTTTCTATAAAAATATTCAAAGGTTAATGTGTTTGTGCATAGAGTGAGTTTACAATGCACACATGATAAGAGTACAATAGCATAGTGTCAATTCAGATTTTTTTTTTTTTTTAGAGAAGTAGGCTGGCTTTTGAGGAGATATTAAATATTGGTTTACGTAAAATTGTCTAGTTCAATTTTCTGGAATGTAGAGCACCTCAGAACTGGAAAGCAGAACTGCTGAAAATTAAATTTGGTAACTTAATGCAAAAGAAGTATCCATTACCTTTTCAACAAATGTGTGTGAAATTTTGACAGTGATGAATTACATGATACTAGAAACTTCCTTTGCAATAAAACTGTACTTCGTTCCCTAACCAATAAGAATCTATAGAAACATTTAAACAGAAATTAGGAGAATGATGGTTCTATAAAATTTCAAAATATATGGTAAACAAATTTCTTTAGAAATGGGCTTGGGGTTGGCCCTGTGATGGAACTATAGATTTTGGAGCTGGTGAGCTGGATTCAAATCTGTACAATATCACAAAATTTTTCCTGCCCTTAAAGTTATGGGTGTGTTATAATAGTAATGGTCAATCCCTTAGCATGGGTGGTGGTTGTTACATTGCTGTTTACAGGCTGGCTTCCCTCTGGTCCATAGCTCAAAATTAGGTACAATGGCAGATATCTTTAGTAGTGTTGTCATAAATACAACTTAGGAATATTCATTTATAAACTTTCTTCATGTGTGTGTGTGTTGTACTTTTTTATCCTTTGAAGTTACAAAATGCAGTACTGCATATCAATTTTTTGCTCTTACAGTAGTTTTAACAAATATCTTTGTTGGTCATATAAACTGTTGTTAACATATACATGCACAAAAACTCGTGTGAGCATTAAAATAATTTAAATTAAGTAAAAGTGCTTTGGAATTTATTAATAAATAAAATATAAACTGAACATGATTTCACTTTATTGATACAAGTACACTTAGTCTAACCATAGAGGCTTTAGAGGTATAATATTCCATTCAGTCTATTGACTAAAAGATTTTTGTACATCAGTACACTATCTCATTCACCTTCAAAATTCTTTAAGTCATTTATCGATGGGTGCTGCAGTCTTCACTGATACATCTTTTCAACTTGTGTTATTAATTGATTGGTAAACAAGTAAACCAAGTTTTTGACAGTCTTCCTACAATGATATTGTTACGCCTCCGTTCGTTAGTTACTTTTCCGTATAATTTCTTTCCGAAGAAACTTTAGCGATACAAGTCCTTTCTTAAATAAAACTGGTTTATTCTTTCTAAATACAACTTTGCAATACACTTAATTTCTACAGTCACGCTATAATTCACAACGAACGTCTCTCTCTGTCCGCATTTCAATTACACATTACATTACCCTGCTGCCGTCACTTCTTGGCGGCTTATATATACAACACTAATGCATATCTAGTAGCCTCTCGAGACATCAGAAAGGGACGTGAACGTTCGAGAATATGACGTGTTACTAGAGTCACGTGACCCCCGCTGTCGTAACAATATCGTATGAAACGCGTAGTCTTTTTATAACCATAGGTTCAAAATATTCATTACTGATGCATTGTTGTCATCTGTTATTACAAATGTATAAATGTAATTTATATGGAAATAATAAACAGCAATCTACACTAAAAAAAAAAAGATTTTAGTAAGAATTAGCTTATTTTTT